CTTTCCCCTTCCTGTCCTCCCTTGCAGGACTCCATGCCCCACCCTCTCTCCTGGGAACCTTGGAGACGCAAGCCCCACCTCAGGCCCTAAACCCCCCTTGCCATTGCCTCTCTAGTGAGAGTAAAGCCAGGGTTCCCTGCTTCCTGTCTTTCCTTTAACATCCCTGTTGATCCAGGGGCCTCAGAGTTTCATCAACTTCCCTGCAAGAGTTTCTTAATATAACTGTTCTTTTTAAAAAATTATTCATGTAATAAATTAGTACATTCATATTCATTTAATTTAAAAATATTTATTGGGTACCTACTGTGTGCTAGACATTATTCTAGATACTGGAGACACAGCCATGAACAAAAAGATGAAAGTCTTTGCCTTCGTGGAGACAGTTCAGCAGTTTTTTCTTTATAAACAGGAAAAAAAGAGAGACTTTAATTTTTTTTTTCTGGCAGGAGAGGAAGCCCCTTTAGAAAGGGTGGTTAGGGATGGCTTCTCTGAGGAGGTAGACCTGAGAAATGAGAAGTCAGATGGAGAAAAAGAAACAGAAAGGCAGAGCTTATATTATCTTGGGCAAGTACAAAGGCCCTAAGGCCAAAATGAAAGGAGTCCGAAGACTGTAAAAGGGGTAATAGGGTAATAAGTGAGGTACAGGGAAATGAGGATGGAGAGATGGAAGGGGCCACAGTGAAGGTTCGGGTTTAGTTCTAAAGATGATGGAAGGCGCCGGGCGTAAAAGAGTCTACCAACATAGATCTTGGCACCTTTCCATGTACTTCTGTATATCCAGGTACATAAACACAAAGTTGATTTTTTATCTTCTTTTCAAACTTGGGTTCATACTGTTCTCTTTTATCATGATGTCAATCTTCCACCCTCATTGGAACAATAGAAGCTTGCCTTCTTGCCTCCTCCAGGATGCTTTCCGTAATTCCCCTGGATGAGATCCTGCTCCCTCCCTTACTATTCTAGTTTCTCACAGTACTTGGCACTTACTAACACTGTCATGTAATAATCTTCAGCCCTTGGAAGTTCACCTTTTCTCTACTCCCTCAATAAGAAGCCCTCTGAGCATGGGAGATACTTCATCCATTCTGGTTGTAACTCAGATCCTGGCACAAAGATAACCTGGGAAATGCTTGTTGACTGACTACCTGACTGATGCAACAATCAAATAAGCTTTCAGGGAGGTTCTCTAGCAGGTTCCCCAGTCAGGCTGCCCACACTCCAAACTTTTACTTCTTACCTCCTTCTCTTCCTCCACCAAAATCTACCAGTCCTACGTCATGTTACCTCAGGGGTAGCTGGTTGACATTGAACCAAATCCAATCACAGCTAAGAGATTCCTGGAGTAAGTAATGTAGTAATTCCAGGCATGGAGCCAAGCAGGGAGGAGGTAACATTTGGGAAACTTTCAGTGTCCCCCTTTACAATGAGTGCTCCAGCCACCCTAGAAAAGTTAACTTCCCTGCGGGGAAAGGAGAAATCACGAGCAGCTTAAACAAGGCTCCCAGCTGCAAGGGTAAGAAAGAAGGACACACAAAGAAATGCTGACCTCTGACATCTTGTAAAATTTGTTGGTATTGGTAGGAGGCAGCAAAGCATGATGGTCGTTATGGGCTGAACTGTGTCACCCAGAATTCGTCTGTTGGCATCCTATATACTGATACTCTAGTACCTCAGAATGTGACTGTATTTGGAGATAGGGCCTTTAAAGAGGTAATTAAGATTAAACGAGGTCATGTAGGTGGGCTCTAATCCAATATGACTGATGTCCTTATAAGAGATTTAGATACACACAGACTGAGGGGCGACCATGTGAGGACATGGTGAGAAGCTAGCCATCTGAAAGTGAAGGAGAGAGGCCCCAAAAGAAATCAAACCTGAAGACACCCTGATCTTGGATTTCTAGTTGCCAGAATTGTGAGAAAATAATTTTCTGTTGTTTACACCACCCAGTCCATGTTAGTTTGTTATGGAAGCCCTAGCAAATACAGTAGTTAAGATCAAAGACTCTGGAGCCAGTGGGTCCAGATTCCAATCCTGCCTCAATGACTTATTAACTATATCATCTTGAACAAGTTTTCCATTATTAAGTTGGCATGATTATAGTACCTACCTCATAGAGTTGCTATTAGAATGAAATAGTCAATAAAGCACTAAACGAAACAATTTCTGGAATATAGCAAGTACTCTGGGTATTGTTAAATAAATAAATTTGTTTTTACTGGGTAAGGTAAGTAAACAGGCCCTGCCCTGAGGAACTCAGAGTTATGTACATTAAAAAGGGTCATCAAGCACTAAGTGCAGTCTTGTGGCAGCTCTGTTCCGGGGTCCTTGAGGGCAGAAATTTACTCATTTCCATGAGAAAGGGCTTAGCAAATGATAGCACCTCAGGAAGAATTTGTCGATTCAAATAGTTTCCAAACATCCCCTCCTGATGCTGAGCAATGCAGGGCGTGGTGACTAATTCTTTATGGGAGTGTCAGGTGATATTTCTAGAAATTCTGTTTGGTTCCTGTTCAAATTTTCCATGTTTTTAAAATAGTTTTAATAGTTTTTATATAGTTTCTATTTCTGTAGCTATTTTCTAGCTTTAAATCTTGTGTGCACAATGTTTGAAAACCTGTGTCTGTGAAGTACAATATCTGAAGTCTGTGTTGATCTGTTCATCTCATCTGCTGCATGTTTCTTTTTCATGAAGTCTTGGGTCCCTGTTTTTCTGACTATGTGCTGGTAATCACCTTAAAAAATTATTCGTGGTGGTTATCTAAAGCCAAAGATAGATCTGCTTGTCTTCATAGAGGCTTTGCATTTGCTTTTGCAAAAGGTTTGGGGGCACTGCCAGTCAATCATCACCTCAAACCAGATTCCCAGTTCATGGCTTGAGATTCCTTGGGCTACCAGGGTGCAAAAGGACCTCCCTAGGGTGCAAAAGGACCTATCAATGGTTACAACTCCCCAAAGAAGGGCTTAAAAAAATTCCCTTTCCTTTTCCTTCAACTGTTCTGCTAAACACCAAGACAATCTTTTCTGAACTCGGGGGTGATGGTGTGGGGTGTATAGTTGGTTTATATCACAGGAAACTTGAGGGTAAAACTCTTTGAAGTTTGGGCTTAATGTGAAGTTTCTTCTAAAAGACTGCCAACCTTGGGCAGGCCCTGGACTTTCACTTTTTTCGCTTTTGCCCTATGTGGTTGATGAACTGAAACCCACAGTTTCAATATTGACAAATGCCTTCATATCATGAGTAGCTTTGGTCCTCCAATATTCCAATCTTCCTGTTAACTGGTTATCAGCTTTCACCCAATAATTGGCCTGGGAATTCCCCAGGCTTTTAAGCATTTCAGTGTTTTTCAGCAAATATTTTTATTTTTCTTTTAACATTGCCACTATTTTCAGAGGAAGGTTACCTGAATAAACCAGTTCACCATTACTGGAAAAAAGAGAAAGAAAGTACAGTTTTAGCAATAAAATAGGGCCAGCATAATTTCTTCTTCACTGACCTCTGACATCATCCCCTGACCCTAATCCAGGCAATAATATCAGAGATCAATGTCCAATTACTAGGGGAGACTCTCACAAGTTACAGCCACCACTCAACATGTAGCTGTTACCAATGACAACTCCGCACAGTGACATCATACATAAATGCCACTCATCAGTGCTCTGGGAGATACAACCAAACTATATTGCTTCAACAAGCATATGTTGGGCATCCACCATGTGCTACGTGCTGGGATTACAGCAGAAAACAAGACAGACTAGGTTTCTGTCCTCATGGAATTTACAGTCTGATAGGGGCCATAGACAACGGACGTGTAGCAAAATAATAATTTCAAAGAGTGAGAAGTTCAATGAATAAATAAAGGATAATGAGGTAGAGAGTAGTAAGTGCTACTTTAGATGGAATATCTAGGAAGGTCTTTCTGAAGAGGTGGCATTTGAACTGAAACCTGAAAGTTGAGAAGGAGCCAGCCGCGGAAAGAATGGGGAGCGATACATACCAGGCAGGGGAAACAGCAAGTGCAAAGGCACTGAGGCACGAGTGTTCTTGGCATGCTCAAGGAACAGCAAGGAGGCCAGTTTGGTTGGAGAAGAATGAATGAGGGGGCAAAGTGATGGACATGAGTTTAGACAGGGAAGCAGGGCCAGATCATTCAGAGTCTTGTCTTGTGAGCTATGGGAAGAAGTTTGGATTTTAAGAATAAATAGAAAACATTGATGGTGCCAAGTGTTTATGCTCTGAAAAGATCGCTATGATCACTGTTACCCAATCAGAACTATCACGCCTAAAGATGAGGCCTAGCTCCTCACCGTGTCACCATCCAATTGTAGAGAGGGTGGCTCCTCTTTCAGGAAACCTTGGAAATTCGCAGGTGACAACTCTTGTTCCAAACCTGAAGGAAACATGCTTTCTAATTGGACAAATCTGAGTATGTAACTTTCCGTAAAACTAGTCTGGCGGAGCCCACTGTAATTGGTTACATGCTCTTCTCTTCCAAGCAAATCTCTATTCCGGGGAGTGCGTGCGTAGCATTTGTGACAAGAGTGTGCCCTGTGATTGGCTCTCCCCGTATGAGTGACAACAGACTCAGCCTATGGTTATAAAGATATAGAGCCGCAGCTCGGTTCTGCGTCGCCGTGGGAGTTGTACAGCCGGAACTCAAAGCTGTCAGTTGAGGTCCGGTTCGGTGCTTCCGGCTCCGCTCGCCACTGGCCCTATGGCTGCCCCTCCGCAGATGCGGGCTCTACTTCTGGCTGTCAACGCACTGCTGCGCAAGCGCCGCTACCACGCTGCGTTGGCACTGCTTAAAGGCTTCCGGAACGGGGCAGTGTGAGTTGGGGGCCGTTGGGTCCGGCTAGGGCTGAGAGATGCTCCTGGCTGGGGTCGGTGGCGCGGGTTCTCGGCCCGGCGCAGCTGCGCTGTGTGCCCTTGAGAAGCCTTAGTGTATCTTTAGGTCTCGGTGTCCATCTCTGCGCAGTGGGCGCTGGATTTTGTGTCGCGAGCGCCTTCTGAGCCAGGGCTCCCCCACTATGCTTTCTCTGGGTCCTTCGTGCTTTGCAACCTGTTAGTCTTGCCCTGAACATCTCCCATGCCAGTCTCTGTATCTTCTCCTTTGGGCCCAGTTTCCCCCTCTCCCTTTCCCTATCCCACTGTGTGCCCTTGGGACTCTCTTGCTTCAGTGGCCCTATAATGGGAAGCTGGGCTCAGGACTCTAGCAGGCCCCCAGGTTCGCATCCCGTTTCTCACTCCGTAGCTGTATCCCTCCAGCCGTAAGTCGCCATGCATCACAGGGGCCTCAGGAGTGAAGATGAAATGTTTTTAAAAGTTGCAAATACAGTATTTGCTGGGAAAATTGATTCCACCCTGGCCATCAGACTTGCAGGAGAAGAGGTCTTGGGGTTATTTCTCCTGGTGGTGCCTGGAGGGGAACTCGGCTTCCTTTAAACCTCATGCATAACAGCTAATATTTATTCAGAGCCCACTGTGCCAGAATTGGGGATGCAGCAGAGAACAAAGCAAACAAAGATCTGTGTCCTCCTGAAGTAGACATCCTAATGGCAGCACTAGGTGGTAAAGATGTGGACTGCCTCAGTTTGAATCAAAGCTGGGTGCCTTTCGTCTCTTCTGGCCTCAGTTTCCTCCTCTGTAAAGTGGAAACAAACTCACCCATATATGAGTGCTCAGAACAGTGATTCCATTACTGGTTAGTGTTTAGACACCATGCCTATCTATGAGGATCTGGCATCCAAGAAGAAGACTGGTCATTAAACTGCCAGGGCAGTACCAGTAGATCGGGAGTGCTGTACAGAGAAGGTGGTGATATTTCGAAAGCTGACTTAGAATTTGCCGGGGGGAGAAAGGCATCCCAGGTAGAGGGAATGGTTTGAACAAAGGCCTGGAGGTGGAAAAGATTATACTGATTTTGAAGAAAGGCCATCCATTTAGGGAGGCAGACTTGGATGACTGAAACATACAAACTTTGTAAAATTTAACTCATTTTGTTGTTCCACTCCTAAATATATCAACGTGCATCTCTAAAAATAACATTTTCTGATATAGCTAAATCATCATGATTACATTTAATAAATTAATATTAATCCTATAATGTTGACTACTGTCCAGAAATTGTCCCAGTTGCCCCCCAAATGCCCTCTACAGCTAGTTTGTCTAGACCAGGATCCTCCAGGACACCACATTGCACCTGTCATTATGTCCTTTATGTCCTTTTAAATCCAGGGCATCTCTTTTTTCAGGGCACAGAGTAATCCTGTGAATCGTAGTAACTGGCTCCCACCTAAATTTGAGGACTTTGGGAAGGGGCTTGTCAGGTGTAGGGAGTTGGGGGCACTGTTCCGCTTGTGTCTAGGGCATAAGGAAGGTCCCTTTTAGCCCTGGTTATCTGGAGGAGGCCGAGGCCTTCTTTTTTTGAAGAGAAAAAGAGATGACTTTGGAGGAGGTGGGACAGAAAACTGTTGCTGGGCTCAGGATGGGGGTCCTGCCCACTACAAGGCCAGGGGAGAAGATAAGTGATTCAGCATAGCCACCACAACAATAAAACCGGCTTTAACTTGTTAACATTTTTATTTCTTTAATTTTTTTTTTAAAATTATGTAACATATTCACAAAAGGCATAGAAAGTTAGATGCTACAAAGTCCTGCCTACCCTATCCTTCCATCATCTAGTCCCCCTTCCTGGTAGTAACCCCTGTGTCCAGTCTCATGTCTCCCTCCAAAAATATGTGTATTTGCATAGACAAATACATATGTGTTCCTCCCATAACTTTTAAATAAGTTTTATTTGGAAAAAGTTTTAGATTTATAGAAGAATTTCCTCATTTTACACAATTTTTTCTTTATACAGCTTGCTCTAAGAAATTCTGCAGTGCACATAAAGCTGCCTCATTTTTTTACCACTGTGTAGTATTCCACTGAATGGTAGGATCATTATTTATTTACCTAATACCCACTGTGGATCGACACTACTTTGTTTCCAGTTATTTGCTAATTCAAACAAATCTACAGGTACTCATATGACAGTAATATATGGCTTGTGACCATTATCTCAAGGAGGCTTTCAGGGACTTTTAGACCTTATAACCTGGTTAGATCAGGGCCTGGCAGCCGAAGAATTTGGTCGGGGAAAGGGGAGTCCAATAAAGAAGAAAGAAAGAGACACTAACATTGGTTGAACTAGGAACTCTCACATGTGCTCCATTAACTGCCAGAAGGAACTCTGAAATAGAAAATACATTTTACTAAAGGGAGAAGGGCAGCTTAGAGAGGTTAAGTGATTTATCCAAGCTTATGCAGCAAAGTGTGACAGGACTTTAGCACCAAATACTGTTTCTTTTCTACGACCCACTTTGAATCTACAGTTAACTTGAAAGCCAGTATTATTTCTCCTCCCAAAATGATGTTAGGATTAAGGAGAGGGAAAGGGGACAAGGAGTCACAGAGACAGCCCAGAAAGAAACTGATGCAGTGATACTGTCGTAATTTTTTTCTCTTGTTTCTACAGGTATGGAGCCAAAATCCGGGCCCCGCATGCACTGGTCATGACCTTTCTCTTCCACAGTGGCAGGTACCCATCCCTTCTGCATACCCCTCATACCGGGAGAGAATGTGGTCAGCCCTCAGTGCCCGGACTATTACATCAGCTTCCTGGCTGGGGCTAGTCTGTTCCCACCACTATCTCCTAAAGTACAACTTTGATTCTGTTATCCCTGTTGGAAAACTCCCCTAGCTCGCACTGCCTTCCAAGAAGCCCAACTTCTAGGTGTGTCTTTCAAGGCCTTTTGCAGTCTGGCCTCAGCTGCATCCCCACCCTATTCTCCCATGTCCACCCTGGGGTGCCCTTGGCACACAGGACTTACTGCCATTCCATGCACATGCCACATGCAGTTCCATCTCCATACATTTGCCTATGCAGTACCCCCTGCCAG